TTGTCTCCCGCCCCCCCCCCACACACACTTTGCTGCTTCTGATCCCAGAGGCAGCAAGGGGCCGTTATTAGGATTAACCAATAAATCCAGATTTATCAGTTAATTGTGTAAACAGCTACACCTGTGGCCCCCCACTGTGTCCACCATAGCACCCGCTGGGCCATTTATGTGCCCCCACGGCACAACCTGGGCCAGCCCCGCCCCCAGGTGCATGGGCCACCCCTGCCCCAGGGTCACAGCCCATGCCGGTGTCGGCCCCGGGTGCGAGGCAAATGGGCGGCCTCTGCCCCAGGTGCGTGGCACATACCGGTGCTGGCCTCCGCCCCTGGGCAGCCCCCAAAGGTTGGGGACCACTGAATTACACACTAACATCTCTACTTTCTAAGGGCACCAATGGTACACCTTTGGCTCACCCCTTCCCAGGCTCTACACCCCACCACTCACTGCGCGCACACACACCCCTCCATGGTCACTCACCCTCACTTGCTCATTTTCAGTGGATTGGGGCCCGTGATTGGGTGACAGCTTGAGTGGAGGCCAGAAATGGGAGGAAATAGTTGTGGATGGGGGCTCTAGGTTAGGATTTAATGTATAGTTGAGTAAATACTTATCAGTTAATCCTGTCGACTACACATGTTCCCTCCCTCCTTGTATTTGTATCTACGGCAGCAAGAGGATGCAGGGGGGAAGAGTGGGAGCCAGTGGCCCTAAGGAGCTGGCTTCAAGCACACTCTCCACAAACAGCAGATCCACATGCAACACAACAGAACAGTAGGTAAGGGGGACAAGTGATAGAAATGTAGCCGTGTTAGTCTGGGGTAGTTGAAGCAAAATGCAGGACAATGTAGCACTTTAAAGACTAACAAGATGGTTTATTAGATGATGAGCTTTTGTGGGCCAGACCCACTTCCTCAGATCAAATAGTGGAAGAAAGTAAGGGGGACAAGTGAGAGCCAATATGCATGGGGAGCCAGGTGGCTTTCAAACCAGCTCCTTGTGAGTATCAGCTCCCATGAACCCGCCTGCCCCCCTTTGCTGCCTCCTACACAGGCAGCGAGGGGGGTAGGCAGGAGCCAGTGCTGAGGGAGCCAGTGTAAAAGCAGGCAGCTGGTCTCTGCAATGAATTGTTTTTCAAACTGGCACCCTTGTAGACCAGCTTCCACCTGTCACTTTGTACTGCTGATAAAGACAGCAGCGCAGAGTGGTAGGGGGCTCCCTGGGAGTGGGACTGAAGCACGCTGGCTGGCTGCCTTGCCCCTAGGGGCTATTGAATAGTGTGTAAATGATAAGAATTCTTGTGGTTACACAGCTATTGTTACCAGATAACTAACATCCTTATTGAAAACTAGGCATCTGACAACCTAACCTAATCAGAGCAGGCTGGGTATCAAAGTACTTACAAGAGAATATTTCATAGGCCTTGCTGCAATTTGGGGCCCTGTGAAAATTTCTGCAGAGGCCAAATTCCTTCAAAGGGGAAATTCTGCCATACTCAGATTTCAACTGGGATCAGGCAGGAAGAGTTTTTTGCACAAAATGTCAAGGTCTTTGGAGTTACAGAAGTGAAAATCATTAATTGTTTTGTTGTCTGATACTCTTCTATACTATGGGACTCCAGCACCAGCTATTCCTGTTCCATATTCCATTCAGTTCAATAGATCTTGAAGTCACTCTGCATTAATTTACAATCTGCTGCCTACAATCTGGCACATTATCTTCTAATTGTGATGTTCATTGCTGTGATTCATCTAGCTTTACCGTTAATGTAATTTAGAAGACAACCATTCTATCAACAATTAAATACTGAATCTGGCAACCTAGCATAGTAATTTTTATGTTAAACCTTTGCAGAGTGTTAGACATACAGCAGTGTAAACTAGTCTGTCTCTGATGCAAGCGTCCTCCCGCCCCGCCAAGGAAACTAATGCAGAAGAGTTGAAGCAAGGCATGAGAAAAACAAATTCTGTGAGTTCTGTACCCTTCCCAACTCCATCTCACTTTTGCATTATAAGGTGATTTTTCTTGCGCAGACTCTGCAATGAAAAGAAGTGGCCTGTAGGCCTGCTGCATGTCCAGTCTAAGGATATTAAGAGGCAGATAATCCACTAATCGTATAGTCAATAAAAAAAATTTTTTAACTATGCGATTAGTTGATAAGGGAAGGCTTCTTCAGTCCCAGCTTGCACCAGGTCCAGGAGCTACCCCCTCTGCGGCTCTGCAGTTTAAATGTAGTAAGAGCCAGGTGCACAGGCAGCCCAGCTCCTACTACATTTAAACTACAGTGGTGCAGTGGGGTAGATCCCAGACTCGGTGCAAGCCGGGATTGAGGTGGATTGCTCAAGTCCTGACTTGCACTGGGTCCATCAGCCCCTGGAGGGCCCAGCAGAGAGCTGCCTGGCCCCATCACAGTCACCCTCCGCTGGACCCTCTCCAATGTGTCCACGTCTTTTCTATAGTGGGGGGCCCAGAACTGGACACACTGTTCCAGGTGTGGCCTCACAGAGCTGAATAAAGGGGAATAATCACTTCTCTAGATCTGCTGGCAATGCTCCTCCTAATGCACCCTAATATGCCATTAGCCTTCTTGGCTACAAGGGCACACTGTTGACTCATATCCAGCTTCTCATCCACTGTAATCCCCAGGTCCTTTTCTGCAGAACTGCTACTTAACCATTCAGTTCCCCGAAACGCGCCAAGCCCACTGGGGGTTCCCTGCCCTGGGTTGTTTCCTACCCCAGCCCCCTGGCTGACTGAGACCCCACCTGCAGGCACAGTGCTGGCAGTGGCCATGACATTGGCAAGCCCAACGTCTCGGGCAGCGGCACCGGGGTTGTCCACCACGGCTGGACAGGCTGCCCTCCGTGGTTGGCATGGGCGCACTTGGCCCGGGGACTGTAGTAGTGGAGGTGGCAGGCCCGGCGGCTCCTGCTCCAGCAGCTGGTCTAGTGGCTCTTGCTCCGGTGGCTGGTCCGGCTGTTGCTCTGCAGGTTGGGCAGGAGTTCCTCCCTCCCCGGAGGCCAGCCCCAACTGAGCTGTTCCCCCGGCTTTTATACTTGACCCACAGCTGGAGCATGCCTAGCACTGCTGCGGGGACGGGGCCTGCACAGGCCAGCTGGCTCCCCCCTTGGCCAGTGTGGGGCTGGACCACCGCATCACACCCTGTTATGAAAGAACTGGACTTGATCTAATTCACAGTTGTCTTCAGCACTTAGTCCCCATAAGTGGAAATGAGGACACCAACGTATTGGGAAAATCTGCCCTTGCTTAGGGAGACAAAAAGAACTACACAGTTGCAGTGTATTATTAGATTCATGAGAAGAAGGAGGGATGTGAATAGCTGACTTTGATTCTGGGTGCCTGTGTTTATACATTTCTTACTAGAAGCTGATTTGCTGATAGGTAGAAATGACAAGATTGTATGCTGTGGCTAGGGTTTCCCAGCCACTTAAACATTATTACAAGTGCTTTGTTTTGCATTGAATACAAAAGAGTTTAGTTAGAGACTGCTTTGGGGATGCTTGGGAGAAACATTTAAGAGATTTTTACTATCTAGGGAACTGGCACCAAACTTCCTGATGAGTAGGAGGGAGGCTGCACACCAGTACTCTGCTCCTTGAATCACCTGACACCACCTCAGACTTTTGAGTAACTATATTTGGAGTGCTGCTAGTTTTAATGCGTGCTTTGTAGTCAACAGAACAAGGATTTTTGAGTGGAAGCACTCTTGTGTATACCAATCAATCATCAAATGGAGGTGCTGTGTGCCTGTGTTCCCTCTAAGCTGCTTGGCAGCACAGCTTCACAGGTTATTAATCAGCCTTGCCCAGTCAGTCAGCTCTGTGCATGAAGCCCTGAGCCTCTGATTGGGCAAGGCGGATTAATCTCCTGTGAAGCTGTGCTGCCATGCATCTTAGAGGGAACACCGCTATGTCCCATTGAGTTAATTCCTGATTCTGCCTGGAAAAATAGAGATTACTTACCAGAGCTGTGGGTTCAGATAGCCTGGGGACATACCTTGTTAAGAATGGCCATACTGGGTCACACCGAAAGTCCAGCTCGCCCAGTCTTCCCACAGTGGCTAATGCAAGAGGTCCCAGAGGGAGTAAACAGAACAGGTAATCATCAAGTTATCCCTCTCCTGTCATCCATTTCCAGCCTCTGACAAACAGAGGCTAGGGACACCATTCCTACGTAACCTGACTCATACCCATTGATGGACCTAACCTCCATGAATTTATCTAGCTCTTTTCTGAACCCAGTTAAAGTCCTGGTTTTCACAGTATACTGTGGCAAAGAGTTCCACAGGTTGACTGTGTTGTGTGAAGAAAAATTTCCTTTTGTTTGTTTGAAACCTGATACCCATTAATTTCATTTGGTGAACTCTAGTTCTTATATTGTGGGAATAAGTAAATAACTTTTCCTTATTCACTTTTTCCATACCAGTCATGATTTTATAGACCTCTATCATGTCCTCCCTTAGTCTCCTCTTTTCTAAGATGAAAAGTTTCAGTTCTTTTTAATCTCTCTTCATATGGGATCTGCTCATCATTTTTTGTTGCCCTTTTCTGAACCATTTCCAATGCCAATATACCTTTTCTGAGATGCGACCACATTTTACACCGTATCAAGATGTGGGCATACCATAGATTTATATGGACACAATAAAGATATTCAGTCTTATTCTCTATCCCTTTTTTTAATGATTCCTAACATTGTTTGCTTTTTTGACTTCTGCTGCACATTGACTGGATGTTTTCAGAGAACTGTCCACAATGACTCCAAGATCTCTCTCTCTCTTGAGTAGTTATAGCTAAATTAGTAGTTATAGCTAAATTTTTCAAAATAACATGCTATTTTGAGCCATCCCTTATCCCTCGTGCAACGAGGTTTACTGGAATGATGAAATAGTGCACGTGTTATTTCGAAAAATATTTTGAAATAATGAGCAGCTTGTGTAGATGCGGGGTAGCAGTGCAGTTGTGCAGTATAGACATACCCTTAGTGATTCTTTAAGAGCTTAATGGCTCAGTATTCAACCCAACAACCGGTAAATGGTTTTATTTTTCCTGTAAGCCCAAACTAAGTTTGGCCCCGGAAAGACATGTGACCATGTCAACTGGTATTAGAATCCATCTTGAAGCTGGTACTTTTTCATGGTGATGGGAAGACTGAACACAGGGTTCTCACCCTGGGGGAAAGTCTATTTAAGAAATGGAAAGCAATCAGGTCGTTCTCTTCAGCTAGCTTGAGAAATTGCCTCCCCTCTCTAAGAGTCTACAAATGAAACCTGGAAAAAAAGACCTGCAGTGAAAGGGTGAAGGCAAAACTGCTGGGCCCAGCTCAGAAAAAGATCAACTCTAGCATGAAATAAGAACAACTGTTTAGGATAAGAATTTGCATGTAACAAGTTTTTTAGTGGATTGTAATTTGCTGGTGCGGTTTATTTATTTTGGCTTAACTTATTTTGATTTGTTTTCACTTGCAATCACTTAAATCCTACTTTTTATACATAATAAAAACACTTTTGTTTATTATCGAGCCAAGTGTAAGTAATTGTTACCTTGGGAAAGCAACCACTGTGCATCTCTCTCTTTCATTGAGAAAGAGGGTAAACCTCTTTATGAGCTTTCTCTGTGTAAAACTTTTACACAGGGTAAGACAGATTTAAGGGTTTGATCCTTTTGGGGGGTTGGTTTCCTGGGTGTTGTCAAAGGCCTTATAGCTGAGTCCTACCAGAGCTGATCTGATTCAGTGTTTGTATTGCTGTGCTGGGGGGTGGTTACCCCAACTCTGGGCCTTGGCCTAGCAGGACAGGGTGGTGGGGAACCCCAGAGGACAGGAAAGTGGGCATCAGTGGCTTCAGCATACCTGGTGACAATCCCAAGGGGACCTCCGTGATCCAACCCATCACACAGACATAATCACCTTTGTCTTGTGATTAAGGCATATGTTATAAGCACATTTGCTGTGACAGCATTGTTATGATTTAAATTTAACTTTCCCACTTCTACTTTTGCAATATTACCATTTTCTGCCTCTTTTCTCAGCACAGGCAGGGTCTCTGTTGCCTGTAGGAGGAGGGGTAGAGGGAGGGCCATCAGAGGGGCAGGAGGGGACACGAAGGGCACCTTATTTCACAATTACAATTTTGGCAGGGGTATGTGGGATGCACCTCCTGAGTGCTACCTCAAGTCACCTATGCGCACAGGATTATACTGTGGGTACATGCCAACAACTGCAAAATATAGTGGGGCCATTTGTAAGAGAGAGGTTGAGAGGAGGTGCAGAGGATCTTAGGATGAGGAGAGAGAAAAAACGACTTTAAAGAAAAAAGGAAGGAAGGAGGGAGCTTGAAGAAGGTACAAATGAGGGTAAGATGTCTTGATGTGGTAACTAGGACTGGTAACTACATTCAAAAGAAACAGTATGTTTAAATCTCAAAATAGCAACAATATAAAAATGGACTTTTAGACTTATTCCTCTTGTTCACAAAGATAAGTGTGGTGAGATAATGGTGGTTTGTTTAGAAATGGAACCTGATTAACAGTCCAGTTCTACCTAACAGATTTCTCCCCCTAGGTTCCCACATGACATTTTACAAAGCTAAGCCAAATGTTGATAAAAGAAAAGAGATGGTGCATGCTTACTAAATTGACACTACTTGGAGAAAGTAATAAAAGCGATGATATATTTTGGTGAACATGGCGGTGAGCAAGATCTCACCTTTCCTCTTGCCTGATTTTAGCTGACCACATGCACTCAAAATGGCTCCCTTGAATACTTTTTGGAGCAGGGCTACTGTGTATTTACATTTCAATTGATCTTCAGTTGAGCTCTTGGAATATCTGATAAGCAGCAAAACAAAGAGGAGAGGTATGCACACAGAAAAGCTTCACTTGCATTCTCTGATCAATATAATGTCAGCCGTGCAATCAGACTGTGTGTAAACTTCAAAATTCTAAAAGTTTAATGCTACAACTCATGTTGATAGTCTTGATGACAAAGGGTTGTAAATCGATAGAATAAGTAGCCCTGTGCCTTGAAGATTAACAGCAATTAAAAAAAAAAAAGCGTTGAAAAACTTGTCAGTTTGCACTGCTTGTAATGGCTCTGTGTAATAGACTTCACCAAAATTTTAAATATAAAGTGAACATTTTCTTCTATCACTGAACAAGGAACTTTATTTGAATAAAGAAAATGGTATTATCTGTGGTTCACAGCTGAGTTCATGTCTGGCCTAGGCCCTTATGAAGTTATACCAGACTTCCTACTATAGATTCCATGAACCTATACACAGTCTGTGTTATTTAGTTTATTAGACACTTATAAAACACGTACATGTGTCAGCTGGCAAGGATTGTGCTGCTGCACAGTCATCTTTGATGAAGGAAGCTGCACTGCAACAGATCTTGAAAGGATCATTTCAAACTTTTATGTGGTATTAACATTTATAAGAGGATCAATAAAGACAAAAATTCAAGTAGGAGACAGTTCCACTCTTTGATTAGATGACTCATTGTCTAAGCAATTTTCTCAGCTTAAAAAAAGCATGTTATAACATGCTAGACAGAGGTAAATCCTGTTGAACTTTTTTTTTAAAAATCACTTTATTCCAGCTTAATTATATGAAATTAAAAAGGAGGGCTTTCTTGCCTGCCAAAATGGAAATAGAGCAAAGCACAGGAAAACTTTCCTGTAGATGATCTAGAGTTGCAGTAACTTGGTTTCAGAGGTTAAAGATACAAGTTGGACCTATTCTGAAACAAGATAAATACTGGTATTAAGTTGTCACTAAGCTTGTGCCAGCTGTGTTGCAAACTAAATACTGACCTTCGGGATGGGATGAATAGATACTTAACCATAGGTTTGATTCTAGCAAAAGAATGACAGTTATTTGAAAGCTCAAAGCTACCCCATAAGGAGTAAGTGCTACATTTAAACAGATGTTCTCCAACAGAAAAATAATATATTCATTAGCCCATCAATATATTTGGCAACCTGTTCTGATTTCTGTGAAATGCATGGGCTGAGAATCATGCACTCTCTCACAGCGGTTTATACTTTTACAAATGTGAAGATGAAGGAATCTAGGTCTTCACACTGTAAATTAATAAGTAAATACCTGTAAACTGGTTGGAATAGTAACCGCTGTAATGTACATTACAGTACAATGTAGGAAATAGTTTTAAATCATAATTATAGATTGTTTCCAAAACATAAAGCTAACATCAATACACTTAAACTAGACAGACAAGGGAAAGTTCTCACTCCTTTCCCAGAAAGGACAACAAAAGCCTAACCAGAGAGGCAACTAAATAAGACAGACACACGACTATACTGTCTCTGGTGGAGGCAATGCATGCACACACAAGTTAGTTACGTGCAAATGTGACAAAAGGCAGTTAATGTTAACAATTTCTTTTTTCTAGCTGCAGCATCTCAAGCAAGACACACTTTTTGGGTGAGTCAGAAACAAAGCGGTTTAAAATGTCCTAAACTTCTAAAAGGAGAGGTAGCCCACTGCAGAGCATGGCAGAAAGGAAAGAGAGAGAATCTCCTACTTTTGGGAGGGAGAGCAGTAGCAAGAGATCCAGTCCAAATGCTGATGAAGAACCTTCAATGCAATCATAGAGAACTATAAAAGCCACTTTCACACAAATGTGGGGACACTTGCTTTTTTTGTAAAAATATGCTTCTGCGAGTTCTACAAATGTATTAATATGAACAATTATCAGGCTGTAAAACACTGATTAACATTAGACTTCTTAATTACTTACAGTTGGTAACTAAGCCTTCCTATTCTAGGAGAGCAAAACACTACTATTTAATGTGACTATGAATTCCCGAGCCATAACTATCTAGATGCTATGCTACTGAGCATGCCTAAGATACCTGAAAGACATTGATTTTTACTCTTTTCCCAAGAACTTGTAAGATAGCCAACCTTACTGTTTTAGTGCCTCAGGTTAAAATAAAGAGTTTTAAAAATAAACATGCAGCCAGTAGAGAAAAAGAGGGTGGAAGGAGAATGGGCAACTTAGTAAAGCTTTTTACACAATGTCATTTGCTGTTCTGAAATTGGACACTGGGGATACAACCCAAATGTAGAGTGAAGTCTTGTCCCTGGCAGATCAAATACGGAGGAGGTGTTAATGGGTCACTTCACCTTGAATGATCCCTTGAAATGTGTAACTACAGAACTTATGTTCACAATCTGTTCCACCTTGTATTTAGGTGTGATATTCTGAGTACATTTCCCCAGGCCTGAAAAAGAACTCTAAGTCTGATGTCTTGTCTTTCTCACCAAGCTGGTCCAATATAAGATATCTTATCCACTTTATAGGTATCTCTGACAGACAAGGGAGCTCTGTTTTATACTCTACGGCAGAAAGTCAAGTTCCTGGTTTAAGATGATGTACTTACTAAGACAAGAACAGATGTCAAGAAACACAGGGATGAAGACATTAGGGGGCTTTCCCGACACTCTCTCCCCTGGTTTTTGTCACACCGACAGAAAGCAAAAGACCAGAAGCCCATCTTAGTGGCAGATTATTAACTGAAGGCATCAAGTTTTGAGAAGAAGAGGGAGAATCTTTTCACATCATCCTCTGCCCCAGGAAAAGAGTACACAGAGAGAGATGAGAAAAGACTACAACTAAAGGATGGGTGGACTAGATCTTCTGCTATCATCTTTGTTTCCATAGTGATCCATCATAGTTGTGAAAAGACAGAACTGGGACTTCAGATCATTAATTCTTGACACTTCTTCAGACTGATCAAGCTTCTTAAGAAATTGTGATTTTTGTTATAACAGACAGAAATTCTTCCACAAACAAAGGCAAGATGAAATTACACCTGTCCCTTTCCTGACATAAGCGGGACATCTCATCAAACTTCATTATTAAGAGAATACATGTTAAAGGTCGAAGACATCTGCTAAACTTAACTAATTCTGAAGTTCCCACTTCCTGAAATAATTCTGAAAATAATTCTTAAAGGAATACTGGTGTTAAAGAAAATAATACTAATAGTAACTGTTTGCTAGCGCATGTTCAAGATACGTTTAAAAGGGATACTATATACAGTAGTGTGAAAGGATAAAAATAATACCATTATTTCTCCTGAATAATGCACCACTATTCATATATAAGACTTCACAATATTTCAGGAATTAACCCTCAACATCTTTAAGCAGGTGTTATGCCCATATTACATTTAGGCCTAGAGTGAGGTTAAATGACTTACAGAGCGGAATCCTAGGAGCAAGTGGCAGAGTAGGGAGTGGAATTTAGGTGTTCTGATTCCTAGTCCCTAGCTACTTTTCCTCTCATGTTCTTTTACCTCCAAATTGAGAGTAGCAATCCTCCTCCTGCAACCAGCATAATATCAATTTAAAATTCATTTTTGGATAAAAGCAGTAAATGACCTTTTTCCTCTGCAAAGGAGTAAAGCATCAATACTATTTTCCAGTATGCAGTTCTTTACACTAATAATTAAGCATCTAGGCATTCAGAAGTTCTTGGGGACTACGGTCTAGAAGACTACCTCAAGGTAATAGAGCCTAAAGGATAAATATTTCTAAGGTTTTCTATTCCCAAGAGTAGGATCAACTTTTCTGGAAGAAAAAAAAATGAAGATATCAAAAGACAAACTACCTCTTTTTCACCACCTAATTTCTTTCATCAGTAAAAAGATTATATATACACATTTTAAAGCAAATATCTGAGAAGAGATTTCTAGCAGAACTGGGCACATGCACAAGTCTGACTGGGAATGACTGTGTAATAGCATCTGACAAGATGCCAAATATTCAACACCCTGAGATGCTATAATTTGAATATTTGGAAGGACAACCTTCTATGCTCAACAGACAACAGCAGAGCTTTCAGATTAGTGGAAAAGAAGAGAAAGGAAATATATGCAGATAGTATAGGAACTTCATGGTTGTTACTGAAGGATGATCTAGAGAATGATTAAAAAAAACACAAAACAAAACCTGCTCACACCTTAAGTTACAGAAAAGGTTCTCTCCTTGGGTATGCCACCAATTCTTACATCATCTTAGGTAAGTCTGATTCCCTGGGGCCAGAGATATATTTATTTGTCCAGATAGTTACTTACCTCACAAGGGTTTGAGGAAGATAAAATCAGAGGGAAGGCAGTATACTCTATAAGGATAATGTATACTCTGCAGAGCCTCAACTTCCCTTCCTCCAGAAAAAGTATTCATAATTAGTTATAGGCACAAATAACTCTCCAAGGAAAGACACATTGCATTTTTACATATCACTTTTAATACTATATATTTTCTATAAATCTGCACCTTTAGGATTCATTGACTAAGGCTGAATAAAACCTAGTGCATGCCCAGAATCTTACTAAGGTGACATACTTAAGTATATTTTTCACAGCAATCCTTTGCTATGTAATGTTTCAAATTGGATTCTGTAAGTTGTGCTTCATGCTATTAACCAGCAGATGGCGCTCTAGGAAAACCAGTGGCATGTCTAGTGAGACTAGTGATAGAAATGTAGTCTTGTTAGTCTGGTCTAGCTGAAACAAAAAACAGGACTATGTAGCACTTTAAAGACTAACAAGATGGTTTATTAGGTGATGAGCTTTCGTGGGCCAGACCCACTTCCTCAGATCAAATAGTGGAAGAAAATTGGCATGACGATATATACCAAAGGATACAATCAAAAAAATGAACACATATGAAAAGGACAAATCAAATTGCAGAACAGAAGGGTGACAATTTTCTTCCACTGTTTTATCTGAGAAAGTTGGTCTGGCCCACGAAAGCTCATCACCTAATAAACCATCTTGTTAGTCTTTAAAGTGCTACATAGTCCTGTTTTTTGTTTTAGTAAGAGACTGTTTCTTTTACAAAGAATTGTCATTGGTGTTGTATTTTCTCCATTCAATAGATTCCCATATTTCCCTTTCCAATTAATGTGACCTACATTCACCCTTAGAGGATAGCCCTAAGCAGTTAAGAAAAATGGCATTAGAAAATTAATTCCCCTTTCCTCCGTTAGGAGGCTGAAGGGCACTTTATTTAGCATTTCCAGATGCAAAATGTTTCAGTCACCAGATTACCAAATTGACGTAGGATAAGCAAAACATTTCTAGACACAGCAACCACTCTACTAAACCCAATTCTGCCATGTAAGCTTTGGTGTACCAGTTTCCTTTTGGTGGCCAGTGCACATAAATAGGACACTTTACCAAGAACAGGATAATTTTTCTCAGAGCTGATCATATTTTTTTCCAGTTATGAAAACTGTGTCAGACATATTGACTGTCATGGCCAGAAAAGTTACTCATTTCTTGTAACTTTTGTTCTTTTAGATGTGTGCAAGTGTCCGTTACACTTGGGACGTGCATGTCTTGTGCACCCGTTTTGGAAAGTTTTCCTTTGTGGTACCCATAGGGTTAGCCACACCTCTAACCTGATGCTCCAAGACAAGGGTATAAAGCACAAAACCCACCCATCTAGCCTTCAGTTCCTTTGTACTAGAATCTTAAGGTGATAGACTCCAATGCAATGGGAAAGGAGGGTGGGTCATGTAATGCCATATGCAACTCATCTTAAAGAACAATTACGACAAGCAAATAATTGATTGTTCTTCTTAAAGTGATGGTAGACATCCATTAAACCAGGTGAGTCCCAAAATGTCTTCCATGGAGTAGATGTAAGAGTCTCTTTGGAAGAGGGACTGAGTGACCATTTTCGCTGCATTTGCATTTTCCCCTCACCTGATAATAATTGTGCAATGTCTAACAAATGTGAGGACTGAAGATTATATTGCTGCTCTTCAACGGTTTACAATACTGTTGTTTTCCATAAACACCATACAGACTGAGTGTGCTGTGGCTGAATATGCAGGAAGCTTCCGTGGGATAATGATACCCTAGTAGCACATGACAATTCAGCTGATGATCCATTTGGAAAGCCATTATGCTGGGACAGGAGATCTTATTTGTTATGTCTAAGAGTCAAATAGGTGGGAAGAAACCCCAAAGATCTTTGTTCCATCCAGGAAAAAGCCAGGAGTTGGCAAAATCCTAAGTGTGCAGCTTACTGGAGTGGCTAACCTCTGTGTTGAGGAGTATTGTATTGAGGAAGTTAAAACCATTCTCTTCTTATGCTTTGGAGTCCAAGAGCACTTATGCTCCTCTGAGCTTATGCTTCTTTGAGGATTTCCCCAGTGAGGGGAGATATTTCCGCTTCTGTCTACAGGTAAGCTTGGGGGAGAACTCCCAGAAGGAATAGTTGAGGAGTTCCTTCAACCCAGTTCTGATGCAAGGGAGAGGACTGCCTCTAAAGGATGCGTCTGAAATGCTTTTCTCTTTCCTTGTTTGTTCTAGACTTGAAGCCCTGGAAGATCAGAGACTTTTCCCTGATGCGACCCTCAACCAAGCACTTGTACAGCAAGAATGAGGCTCCCTCCTGGTTGTGACACTAGGAGCAGGATTTGAAATCAGGGAACCTTGTTATAGATTCAACCAGTACCAGGAAGAGCCCAGAGTCTACCTTTGACAAGAAAGAGAAAGGAGTCCACGTGACCAATACTAGTACCCCTCACTACAACAAAGTTAATGACTATCTATAAAGGCATTTTCACAAGAGGAATGATCTCAAACACAACATACTTTGACTACTGGCAATGGATGATAAGGAGGAGCTGAAGAAGGGTATGATGGCTCCACCTTTTATAGCCTCAGTTTGGAGCATGAAGGTCACCAGGGTGAAGGCATGACTATCCCTATGAGCATCGCCAGGGAAAACTCTGTGGTAGCAGTGCACTACATGGACATACGCACAGAATAATTGTGTTATGCATAGAGGAACAATACTCTGAGGACTCCGTGATTACAGGTGAATAATGTGGTATCTTAATGGTTCCTACTCCTTGAAGTAAATCAGGAAGATCTCTTTGAACACCCCTTTGCTTTTTCACATTCACCAGTTGTGGGAATAGAGATTACACAACCGGAGCTAGATCTCTGCCAACAGATAATACAGGGTGAGATATAGAGGGATTACTGAGAATTAGTCACTCGGATGAAAGCCAGGACATTGAGGCAAGCATCTGAGGTCAGAATTCCCATTGGGCTTATGGAGAAATTATATATTTTTCTGTGACACTACTTGTCATTAAAGCCATCATCATCTTTAACATTCTTTTGAAATGAAATGTTGTACTTGATACTAGTCTTCCTCATCCCAGGCCCATGACTAACTTTGTTGCTGCTATGTGTGTTTGTTTATCCTGAATCCAAGATACTCCAGGAATCACAATATTGTGTATGCTTCAGTCTCCTCACTATTCAGAAACCTGATAACCAGGAATCACAATATTGTGTATGCTTCAGTTTCCTCACTATTCAGAAACCTGATAATTATCTAGGAAGAGAAGTGAATTTCCTTCTTCACTTAGGCCAATGTTATTGCTCCCTTGATCCTGGAGAAGGAAGATGTAAGATCAAATGGTAATGATTTAAGTTTGGAAAAGAAAAAGGCTTCCATGAATAGTAAAATGTGTGTTTTGAAGACAAGTTTCCTATAGGAAAAGAAAAATTAGCCTCTCCATTACTGTTGGTCTTTGAGATTTGTTGCATATGTCTATTGCAATGTAGTTGTATTTTCACCCTTAGCACAGCCACTGGAAATTTCCCCCTCACTGGTATGTTAGGTTGGTTCTGGTACCTCTCTGGAGTTGCTTGCTCATAACATTGGTATAAAGGATCCTACTGACCTGCAGGCTCCCTCTCCCCCCATTTCTTCTTGCCAGCTAATGCCAACAGAGGGTTGGAGGGAGAGTCTTTGAATGGACACGTGCAACACATCTTGAACAACAGTTATGAAAAGGTTATTGTGACAGATGGCCAGAAAGGGTTAAGCAAATTGCAGGCTCATTGATCCAACTTCAACCTTTAGGGACATATTGGTAGATATTGTTTGTGTTTATATCTCTGTATAACTGTGAGAGGTTAACAATGTAATCAACCAGTCCATATCTATGCTGTATTCTCTTAAATCAGAGATCAAAAATAAATCTTATCAGTTAAATGGACTGTAAATATAGTGATATCACTATTCCTCTCTCTTTGAGGTGTATAGCAAATCACCTGTGAATTGTGGAAAACAGGCAATTGCCTTAAGGAAATCCATGTATCTAATTACCAGTGATGCTTAGGAAATAAGCCTATTGTTTGCCTAAGGCACGGGTCAACAACCTTTCAGAGGGGGAGTACTGAGATTTGACTTATTTATTTCTACCTACGGGTCCAAGTGCTGATGATACTTTTTAAAGTCAACAATAGATCTACTTACAGCAGCTTCATTAATAAATAAATTAGGATGCAGATCTTACCTTTTAGTCCAGAGCTCAGCCACCTTTCAGAAGTAGTGTACCACGATTTAACTTATTCACAGATCTGTGTGCTAGGGGAAGAAGGGAGTTGGGGAGGCAAGGGCAGGCTGTGTATGGTGACTTTCTTTTCAGAACCAGCTGCAGCTAGGGAGAACGTTTTAATTTAAATTATAAAAGCAGATTAGGCGTTTTAACTCTCTCATTAGTTTAGCAAACTTCATTTTAAGTAAAGTAAAATATCATGTCCAATACAAAAGGTTTCAATGTTTTCTTTATTTTTGGCAGGGGTGGGGAAACTTTTTTAGGTTGGGGGCCACTGACCCATAGGAAAAAAATCAGTTGGGGACCACACAAAAAACCTGCTCCAACCTCTCCCCCCACACCTCACTCCTCTTGTACTCCAGCCCCACTGGATGAAGTGAAGGGATAGGGAGGACTGAGGTTCAGGATTTCCCATAAGCCAGATTTACTTCTCTGGGGTCCCAATGGATTTTGTGGACCCCTTAGGCTCTGGGGCAGGGACAAAAATGTAGCATTCTGTGTGTGGGACAGGTCTACCAGCAAGTAGGATAGGGATGGGGGTGCAGGATCTGGGCAGAAAGTAGCGTGGCTGAGGGGATGGGAGCTGGGTGCAGAAATAGGCTGGGAGTAGGCTGTCTGGAAAGGGGGCAGGAGCAGCCAGACTGTCTGTCCAGGAAGGGAGGGGGGGGATGAGTGAGGGAGTGGGGGTCTGGGCATGAGGAGGTGAGGGGGCACTCACTCGTTTTCACACTGCATGGCAAGCAGGCGTGGTGCAGCAGTGGGAGCGAGTGTGGCCACAGCGCAGGGTCACCAGCTCACACAGCAGCCACCGGCACAAGGGGCAGCCAAGCAGGGGTCACCCAATGCCTTGCCTGGTCCCTCGGGGCTACCGAAGGGCCAGGGTAGCAGGCATAGCACCTTCTGGTGCTGGCTAAGCACCATGCTCTTGGCCAGCTCCTGCAGCCTCTTGGGCCACAAGTGGGCGGATAACGGCACTGGAGGCCACTGGTAGCGACCACATGGCTGGGGCAGGCCAGCGTGCCTCCCCCTTGCCCCCTGGTGCAGGCAGAGGTTTCGCTTGGGCTGCGGCAGCACGGCCAGCTGCAAACCGTTCTGCTGCATACCATCCGTCCGCTTGCCAGCAGCTCCAAGCCATGGAGGTCCCCCTGGCAGCGGTGGCCTGAAGGAGGCATGGCCAGACCTGGGCCACTGCGGGGCAGAGGCAGTCCGGTTTTTTCGAAAAAAGTAGCCTTTTTTCGAAAAAACTTCACCTGCGTCTAGACTACAGCTGCGTTCTTTCGAAATTAAATCGAAAGAACGTGGCTTTTCTTTCGACGGCGGAAAACCTCATTTCGTGAGGAAGAACGCCTTTTTTTGAAAGTGCTTTTTTGAAAAAAGGCGTTCTTGAATGCAAACAGGGCTTTTTTCGAAAGAGAGAATCCAGACTGCCTGGGTGTTTTCTTTCGAAAAAGCGGCTTGCTTTTTTGAAAGTACTGCTTGCAGTCTAGACGCTCTTTATCGAAAGAGGCTTTTTCAAAAGTATCTTTCGAAAAAGCCTCTTTCGAAAGAGGCTTGCAGTCTAGACGTAGCCAGAGTGAGGAAGCCGTGCGGCGCGTGGTGGTGGGTCAAGGTGTGACAGGGACTCACAGGCAGCAACATGCACCTCAGCCAAGTTGGGGGCACCTCCAAGAACAGAACCTGTGCACACAGCCTAACCTGCTGCTGGGGAAGGGGAAGAGTGCCACTCAAAATTGGCTCACGTGCTGCTCATGGCTTGCATGCCTGGGGTTCCCGACCCTAGGCCCAAGGCCTCCAAGCTCTCAAGCAGAGGCCAGAAACTATACAAAAACACTGGGGGCTCGATTCTTTTTGCCATATTTGTGTGATGCTTTATGCAGGGGAAGCTTACAACATAAAACTGACATTTCCAGTCCCTCCCAGATTACCCTCAATATGAACACTGGACAATAACCACTGGCTTACCGGACATTTCCAGTCCCTCCCAGATTACCCTCAATACGAACACTGGACAATAACCACTGGCTTAATTATGAAAGGACTCTTTGCAATTACAAAGCTCACCATCTCTACTATGAATCTGATCTCAGTACTGTACCCATGTCTATATGGATATTTATCTTTTTTAGCCAATACTCTCTCTCCCTTTTTTAAATACATTTTAGTTTGGTAAATAAGAATTGGCTGTTTGACTGTATTTGGGTAAGATCTGAAGAATTCATTAACCTGGGAGGCAATGTGTCCAATCCTTTGGGACCAATAGAACTTACTTTATATGAGGAGCAAGATTTTCAGTAATTTTCATCATATTTGAATCTCGTCTATGGGTGGAAGCACAAGGTTGGGTTGATATAAGGGAAATTTGTTTTGGATATTGTGTGCTGGCTTGATAAATATAAGTATTGGAATATCCACCTGTTTTGGGGATTGTCTGCCCCACTTGTTGTTCACCCTTACTGAGTAACCTCCATCACAGTAATTAACCATTTTTTCTTCTTTGAGTACTTGTTTATGCCCATTCCACTGTAGGTAACGCCCAAGCAATTGTGTGGGTGGAGGATTTAAGAGTTTATTGACATGCTGATTGCAACACCACATGGCTAATTCCATGGCTAACCTGTTGGGTGACGGTGTAATGAGACACAAACATGTAAATTGAAAGCCATGTTGCTGCTCTATAAGGTCCTGAAGAGGAACCTGTTCCATGAATGTTGGTGAAGAGACTTGGGCCCTTATGAAATGTGCTGTCAGGGCAGGTGGGGTGGGAACCGTTGCCAGGTCTTACCATGTGCCCATCCATCTAGGATGAAATTCTCTGGGATAAGGCCTTCATCCTGTCTGCAACGGCTACAAATGGTTGAGTAATTTTCAGAACTGCCTTAGTCCTTTCTACATAGAAAGTCAGTGCACATCTGATGTCTAGTGAGTGGAGCCTCTGCTTTTCCTTATTGATGTGCAGTTTTGGATGGAAGACCAGTAAGAAGATACTCTGCTGGACTATGGAATTATGTAACCATCTTTGAAAGGAAAGCTTGATGAGGACACAATTGGACCTTGTCCTTGCAGGATACCTTCTATGGTGGTTCTAAAATGGGGCCCAGCTCTCAAACTCTTCTGGAAGTTGTAATGGCCACTAGGAAGATCACCTTTCAGGACAGGGAGAGCGTAGATCACATTACTAGCTGCTCAAGTGTGGGTAGTATCAGTTTTGATAGTCCCGGATTATATTCCCATGGAAGGACAGGTTGGTATACCTGGCACTACAATGTCTCAAGGCCCTTAAAAAACTAATTATAGATGCTGCTCAGAAACATGGAACAGCCATTCTCCCATGGGTGAAAAGCTGAGACAGGTTCTATCTGGACACAAATAAGGCTAGACCTTGTTTCAAATGTAATAAGCAGTCCAGAATGAATTATATTGATGATTGCATAGGCAAAACACCCTTCTGCCCAGACTAACTCAAGAACCTCAGCCACTGGGCTAGGTGCGGGGCTCTGGTGGACGGCCTCCTGCTCACAGAAAGCATGCTAATGCTGCGGGGCTAAGCTCTGGAACTTGAAGGTTGGGTGATGTAGGCAGCTGTGGTCCTGAAAGATCAGGTCTGAATTCTTGTCCAATCGTGACTGCCTCCTCTCCTGGTTGGGGAATTGTGTTTCTGTGTGGGAAATGGGGGTAGCAAAATGGATAGCAAAGCAATCCAAACCAGCCTGAACTAAGAAGGAAACTGCACTCTGCTCCGCAGAGCTCCCCAATGAACTAGTTAATGGAGAGGTAGGGGAAGGAAAGAAAACAGGGTAATACCTCCTCTGCTTAACCCTTCCCCTGAAGCCCAACTAACTCTCCCAAGGGCAGACTGCATAGATGTTCCAATGGGTTGCCACCCAATAAAAAAACCCTCTTACACAATGTCGTTACACCTATT